GGCTGGGCCATGATTCGCAGAATTGTGTGGTTGGCCTCCATTTTGTGATTGTAATTTTATGTTAAAGAGGATTAGGGTGGGATTGTAACACCACCTTTACCCAGGTCACATCCCTGACCCAATGTAAAGGGAGTTTCCCTGGGGTGTGGCCTGCACTATCTTTTATCTCTCAAGAGATAAAAGGAAAGGGAAGCAAGCGGAGAATGGGGGACCTCATACCATCAAGACAGCAGTGCCGGGAGCAGAGGGCGTCCTTTGGACCGGGGTCCCTGCACAGACAAGCTCCTAGTCCGAGGGAACACTGATGAGAAGGCCAAGACAGAGAAAGGCTTCCCCTGGAGCTGAAGCCCTGAATTTGGACTTCTAGCCTACTTTACTGTGAAGAAATAAACTTCTCTTTGTTAAAACCATCCACTTGTGGTGTTTCTGTTATAGCAGCACAAGATGACTAAGACGGGGCCCAGAATCAGAGTAGTGGTCGGTCAGCCAGGGAGCTTGACTGAAGGCATCTCAGGACTCAGTCTCCAGAGCAAGGTCAGGGGTTGGTGGCTTCATCCTGGATTCTCTGTGATAGGCACTGTTCTCTGAGAAATTGCTGCTTTCCTCTCGTTTCCTTAAAGCCCCCCAAGTAGTGATCTCAAAAGAATTCATGTTTTAGAGACTTGGGACCCTAAATCATAGACTGCCCTCTGGGCTGGGCCTGAATGGGCTGGGTCCCACCGTGGGCTGTAGAGACTTGCCTAAGTGGACAGACTGTAGACCACAGTGGCCAGGTCCTCTTGCAAGTGCCGTGAGTCTGGAGAGTCTCTTGTTGTTGTGTGCCGTCAAGCCGATTCCGACTCAGAGCCACCCTATAGGACAGAGCAGAAGCGCCCCAGAGGGTTTTCTAGGCTGTGAGCTTTACCAAACGTATCACCAGGTCTTCCCTCCTGCATAGCAGCGGGTGGGTTTGAACCGCTAACCAACCTTTCAGTTAACAGTTGAGTGCTTAACCATTCTGCACCAGGGCTCCTGAGAGTCTCTTAGACCCAGCAAATTGGAAGAAAATGCTGCGTTTCAAAGGTCTGCAGACCACAGGTCATCTGAGAATGTGCCTTACTCATTCTTTTCCTCCCGGAGGAACTTACGCAGGGTAAACAATGTTGTCCCTGGGTGCTCACTTGCCAAGGATTTGTGGAATTCTTGAAGTTTGGCTTCCTAGGCCAAAATTGCTGTTGTATTTTCGTTTTTAGATCAGTGGTCAAATTAGTCACTTTTGTTGTTGTAGCTAGAATTTGCCTTGCTATGTCTCATGCCTCTGAATATTGAATATTTGTCCTCTTCCCTTTGTTGTTTGTCTTTCAAAATTTAGGAGTATACGACTTATTCAAAAACGATTGCTGTGTATGGGTTCTTCTTTGAGATAAAGGGAATCAAACATGATGCCACCTCTTATAGTTTTTACATGCAGGTAAGACGAACAGAACACAAGAAAGGTATGTCTCTAAAAGACTCTTCGATTCAGAGTCAATTAACATTGAATTAATAGTGACTGATTAATCATTAATTAATGATTAATATGGACTATGTTGTAAGCCAGGTGATGTCATTTAATTCTTGCAACAACCTTGGCAGGTAGGTATTGTTAACCCATTTAACAGAGGAGGATCTCAAAGTTGAGTCTTCATGTTCAGATGGCCTCTAATTGGTAAAACGGGTTAAATCCTGGTCTTCTGACTTTACATCAGGGGCTCAGTTCCTCTTCAATTCATATCTGATGGGTGATGCTCTACAGATGGTCATTCTTCCATGGGGGTGGTGGGTAGTGCCAGACAGGTGGGAAAGGGAATGCTCTTGCTCAGAGTATCAAAGTAGTGCAGTGGGCAGGATGCCGGAGCAAGAGTCAGTAGGGTGGGGGACTTCGCCTCGATGCGACTGCGGAACTTCAGGAGGGGCAGGAGAGTGTCCTGTCAAAGAGTAGAGAGTCTGTAGTCCAAGTACCTGCCGAGCTGTATGACCTTGGTAAGTTCTACGGGCTTCACTGTGTCTGTTTCTTCACCTTTAAGATGGTGAAGGTAATAGAACCTACCTCACTGGGTTGTTATGAGTTTAAAGTATTGATTTATGCAAAGGGCTTGGAACAGGGCCTCACACATAAAACATTGTATGTGTTAGTGGTGATGATGCGGAGGAGGAGGAGGATGGGGATGAGGATGGTAATGACAATGGACTTCTGCGTTCCACTTAGGATTTGCTTAGAAGTTTCTCTTCTCTAAGACTGCACGCTCCTTGAGAAACCATATCTGATTCAGTAACCTTGGTGTTACCACTGCCAAGCACGGTCCCTGGAATGTAAAACCAAAACCAAACCCATTGCTGTCGAGTTAATTCCGACTCATAGTGACCCTGTAGGGAACATACGGGAGCTTTGAGGCTGACTGACCAGCTGACTGGATGAATGAATGGATGCATGAATGAAGAAACCTGAGTTTTAGTCCCAGCTTTGCCACTTCCTCGCTACACGCCCTTGGGCAAGTCACCTTGCTTCCTTGGGCCCTAGTTCTTGGTCTTCAGTGACTTAGGCATTCTATAAATTTCCCTACACAATGGATTTTACTGGAGAGAAGAGACGAATTATCTAATAACCTGTATCAAAATACTCACATGAATACTATCGGTTTTTAAATTGGGGCAAACCTTCCAATTCAAGACAGCTTGACTTAATGGCATTTTTCTGGATAAGCCAAACCCTAGTCCATCAGCCAGTAGTTTGTGTACGGTGAGGGCTCAAGTATCAATTGGCAGCTGTGACCCCAGGAAATGGCGCCATTTGGGAGGTGCTCTCTTGCTGTCTGCACACATTACATGTGAGGGTCTCCGTGCCAGGGACCAGGTTTCGCCCCTTTGGATCACCCGGGTCACAGTTCCACCTGAGGGGATCACTCTCTTTGCAGAGAATAAAGCACACAGACTTGAAATTCCCCTCCACGGTCTGGGAGCACAGCCCAGTGAGCCTGAGAGCGGAACGCTTGATGAAGTACGAAATCAGAGCCCACACCCTGGTGGACGGCAAGTGGCAGGAGTTCAGGACCAACCAGATCACGCAGAAGTTTGGCTTCGTCAAGCCGTCCTGCAAAAGCCACGTAAGTGTTGTCTTTCTCTTTTGTCTTCTTTTCTCTCTTATTCCCATTTCACTCTTTCTCTTCCTCTCCCCCCTTTCTTGGGATCACTGGCTTTAAATCACCAGTGACGTACACAGGGAGCTCGCTCAGTTTCTTAAGGATTATCACATCTCCAAAGAATGATAAAACCTTCTAGACTGAAAAGCTGGGGCCACTAATAATTATAACCCAAATAGACTGCCTGATTTGGGTCACTCCAGATCCATTTTGGAAATGTCAAAGGAATCCAGAATGCGCCAAAGAGCTGAAGTTTGTCGTTTTAGGAAGAACTCTTTGAGCTGTGAATTCTAGGAGATCCAAGGGGCTGGCTCGCTGCCCTGGAAGCAGTAAGACTTGTCTTAAGCCAGTGAGTAATGATCAGCTGTGCTGCACACGAAAACCACCTGGGGCCTTTAAGAATTCCCCAGGTCTGAGCGCCACCCACATCGTGCGACCAGATACTCTGTGGGTGGGGCCAGGTATCAGGAGTTTTAAAAGCTTCCCAGGTTATTTTCTGTGGTGTTAGAGATCAGAAGAGCAGTGACTTCTGTGGAGGCTCAGGGGAGGCTGGCTATTGGCCAGGAGAGAACACGAAGGAGATTTTGGAAGGTGTTGAAGTGTTCTTTACTTTGATCAGAGTGGTGGCCACACAGGCGTGCTTGTTTTGTGAAAACACGTCAAGCCGTAACGTTTATTGAATTAAGTTATATTTAAATTATTTTTAAAGTTCATTTTTCAAGAAACCTCCTGCCCACCACCACCACGATGGTTCTAACGTGCAGCCAGAGCTGAGAACCAGCACCTTACACAATTGTTAGGTCTTCCCCTCCCACTTCCGGAGGGCAATTGTGTGCATCCTAACGATGCCATATGCTTTGCTTTGTTTCCTCTTTCAGGCCTTGAAAATCCAAACAGTGGGCATCCCAATCTATGCAAGTTTTGCGTTCATTTTCCCAGTGTCTTGAGAATATCCAGAAGGATCTATGAGATTTTTTTTTTCTTCTACCGGTCTCCATAAAAGAAAATAAAATGACATTAAAGGAAACCCTCAAGTGTTCAGTTGAGTGTCCTGGTTAGCAATGGTCTCATTATAACTTTGTTCCACATTGGTATCATTTGGGGATCAGAAGTGCCAGAACCGTGAGTCCTTTTCCCGTCAATGACCCCAGAGCACCCTGAGTCCAGGCCTAACTTCTTGCAGTCTCAGGGTGCAGTGGGAGGGGCCATCAGCAGCGACATACCCTAACTGGGGTCCCCTTTCCATGATGCATTTCTGCCTGCTACACAGCACATCATACCTGACAATTGTCCCTGGCAGCTTGGGCTCAGCCTGAACAAGAGCTGAAGTAGGAAAGGAAGGACGCAGTGAAGGTACAGAGTGACTTCTCTTATTTAACATCCTGCCTCCTTGAACGCAACTTTATAGTTTGGTGGAAATGAGGTGGAGAGCCTTTCTCCCCACTTGTGTATTAGTTTTCTGTTGCTGCATAACAAAGTACCATTTATGATCTCCCAGTTGTCATGGGTCTGGAGTCTAGGCATGGGTAGACCGAACCTCTAACTTTTCGGTTAGCAACCAAGTGCATTAACCATTTACACCACCCAAGGGCTAGTTCTATTCTGATACACATGGGGTTGCCATGAGTCCAGGTCAACTCAACGGCAACTGGTTAGGAAACAATAAACTAAACCAAACTTGTTGCCATTGAGTTGATTCTGACTCATAGCGACCCTATAGGACAGAGCAGAACTGCCCCATAGGGTTTCCAAGGCTGTAAATCTTCATGGAAGCAGACTGCTACATCTTTCTCCCGCAGAGCAGATAGTGGGTTCAAATGGCTAACCTCTGGGTTACCAGCCAAGTGTTTAACCACTGCACCACCAGGGCTCCTTATAGGAAACTTAATATGGGGTCCAAAATCTGAAAGCCAAGGACGTAGAAGGAAGGCAACTCCAGAAAGGATGCGGTACAGGCCTGAAGGACTGGGCTGCATCTGCCGCCTCTCAACCACGGGAAGCCACACGGCCAGGAGGACTTGGGGTGTCAGAGGGAGGGGGCCCTTTGACATCATCTCCAGCTTCTCATTGTACAGAGGGGAAACTGAGGCCCAGTGAGCTGGAGTGACTAAGTGTTTTTGATCCGTTAGGCCCTTGACACACACACCATCCCACAGAGTTTTTCCAAGGTCCCTATGAGACAGTCGAATTTTCCACTTTGGATAATTGCCCAGTGAGAGTCAGGCACTCACCCTGTCCAAGGTTCCTCGGAGCAACAGCTGGGAGGCCAACTCAGGCCTGGACACGAAGCCCATGTGTTTCTACTTCCCTCCACGGCCCCCTGAGAAGAGGTGAGATGTTTTATCGTGGCTAATTCAAGCACCCGGAGACTTGGTGGCACAATAGTTAAGAGCTCGGCTGCTAACCAGTTGTTACAAGTCGACCCTATAGGACAGAGGAGAACTGCCCCATAGGGTTTCCAAGGAGCAGCTGGTGGATTTGGACTGCCGACCTTTTGGTTAGCAGCCGAGCTCTTAACCACTGTGCCACCAGGGCTCCACAAACAAGTTCCCAGGCGATGCTAATGCTGCTGGTTAGGGACCGATTCTGAGAACCACTAGTAGAGCAAAAATTTATTATACATAAGAATCATCTGGCGATCTTGTTAAAATGTAGATTCTGATTCAGTACATCTGGGGTATAAATGCAAATTCTCAGCAGGGGTTTGAACCAGGACAAACCGGTTCGAAGCCCTGGGCAGAACCGAGAGCTGAACATCCATCTGTGCATGCTCAGCCATGTGAACTGTCATTTGATTCCAACAGGAGCATGGCAAGGGGGACCGTGGCAGATGGGCAGTGCCCTTGCAGGAGGCGGATCAGTGGGAACCATCACAGGTGGTGTTCACACAGGTGAGAGCGGGCTGGTCTCCAGCCCCAGGGCTCTCCCTCTGAATGTAGTTCAGGTGCCCTAGGAACTTGTCCAATGTGGATCTCTGGGCCCAGCTGAGAGGGGCGGATTTTTCGGTCTGGGAGACTCCAGGAATCTGCAACAAGCTTCCCTGGAGGACCCTGATGCAGGAGGTCTACAGACCACACGCAGAAACAACTCCAGTCTGTAAGTACTGATTCCACACCAGGCTTCTCCACCATGCCCCGCACATCCAATTGTCTTCCTTACCCTATACAAACCAAAAAAAGGAAAAACCTGCTAATCTATTTCACCACACTGGCTTATTTTCTAAACCTACTTTCCTAGAATATGAAATAAACAGAACCTTAATAGTTAGGTGCCCTCATAAGGAGGAGGTTTCTGCTATAATCCAGAAAGTCCATCCCTTTCCACTAGGGGGCAGGATCCGCCTCAAAAATGGGAGCCAGAATTTCAGCGGCAGGATTTGCAACCTAAAAACTCCACTTCCATCACTGGGTCCTCCTTGTTTAGTGGTTGACAGTGAACTTTTGTAGATCCTGGGTGAGCTCTGTCCATCCAAACGTTCACAGTGTTCACCTCAGAAAATCTCTGAGTTCGTAAAGTGAAAGTCTTGAGACAAAAATTCTTCAGATAATCTTCCAGTCTTCTCACAAGGGAGAACGTCTTAGACTAGAAGGTTTTTTTTAATTGTGGTAAATATATATGTAACAAAACATTTGACATTTCAACAATTTTCACATGTACAGTTCAGGGAGATGATTTAGGTCCATCATGTTGTTCGACCATCACTCTTCTCCGTTCCCAAACTTTACCATCTCTTTGAGAGAAGCTCAGGGTCCCCTAGGTGGTGAGTTCTCCTTTATCCCTAGACTTGTTCTTCTTGTTGTTAGGTGCTGTTGAGTTGGTTCCGACTCACAGCAACCCTATAGGACAGAGTAGAACTGCCCCGTAGCGTTTCCAAGGAGCAGCTGGTGGATTTGAACTGCAGACCTTTTGGTTAGCAGCCGAGTTATTAACCACTGTGCCACCAGGGCTCCGGCTAGTCTAGTCCTCCTAGACTCAAATTTTAAAACCCACAATCACAATGTCCAAAGTGCTGACTATGAGCTACTCGCTTCTCCTGTTACCCACCCCTACCCCGACCCCGATCCAGCTCACCTCCCCAGAACCGTCCCGCCGAAACAAAATGGCCCAGGATTCACACTGGGCACCACGACTCCTTTGGGTCCTGGAGGCAGGCAGACCTGGGTTTTAATCCTAGCTCTGCTGCTTGCTAGCTATGTGGCCTTGGATGAGTCACCTAACCTCTGTGAGCCTCAAAGCCTGCTTTGAAATTGTCAGTGCAACCCGTGGTGAGTATTAAACAAGTTGATGTTTGATTTATAAAGCTCCTAATGCATAAAAGGTGCTCCATATAATTTACTGGAGTCATTTAGTACCCATTGAAGGTCAACATGGATGCTGTGTGATGTTGGGCAAGTCCTTCTCCTTCTCTGGGCCTGCCTGCTTCATCTTATGTGAAGTGAAAAGGTTGAACTAGCTGCTCTCTGTAGTCCTTTACAGCTGCAACGGGTGATTCTCTGATTCTGTGAGTGGAGAAGAACGGAAGAAGTAAATGGTTGAGCCTATAAGCGAAGAGAAGGATGATCAGGAGAAGTGGACTGTGTCTCATTTTCCGTGGGCTCATCAGAATGAGAATGAATTAGAGGAAGAGGTGCTTTTCTCCTCTTGTTAGCCCGGGCTGAGAAGGGAGAAAGCTGGGTCTCACTGAGCTGTCGGGGTGGGCTCCCCAAGGATTGGGAACTGGGAGAGCCCCATGGCCCTCTTGCACACAGAGGTGTGGCTGTAGGGTGTGGTGGAGGCTGGCCCACAGCCCCCGTGGGCTGGAGAGCTGGGGGCGGGGGAGGGTTTTCCTGGAGGGGACGAGACCAGAGAAAACTCTGTGAGGGAAATCTCAGGGACAGCATTGTCCAATAGAACTTTCTGCAGGGATGAGAATGTCCTATATCTGCCCTGTCCAATATGGTAGCCACTGGCTACTTTAAATGTGGCTAGTGCGAATGAGGAGTTGCGTTTTTTATTTTACGTCATTTTAATTTGTTTAAACGTAAATAGCCATCAGTGCAAACAGAAGGCCGGGGTAACAACTACCCACCTTGAATAAGGTCTGGCCCTCTCTGATGTTTGAGACCCTCCGGGGTTTTGAGTTTCTTGGCCTCTCCCCAGGACCAGGACCAGGAGAATATCAATGGCGGGCCAGAGGCAGCCCATGGGCTGCTGGGTGAAGGCCACCTCCCAGAGACGGGGAGAAGCTGAGCTGGGGGAGGGGAAGGTCCTAAGACCAGGGGATCAGCCCTCAGCTCTGTATTGTTTCCAACACAAAAGTCTGTGCAGAAATGCACAAAAGCTGACTTTGTGCTCCGTTTTGTGACTTTGAAAGAATCATGTGGTCTTTGAGCTTTCATTCCTTGACTCTATCATTTATTCCACAGATTTATAATGAGCTACTACTATGGATTGGGAGCCCCTGAGTGGCACAAATGGTTAAGTGCTGGACTACTAAGGTTGGCGGTTCAAACCCACCCACAGGCACTTCGGAAATAAGGCCTGGCAATCTACTTCAAAAGATCACAGCCTTGAAAACCCTATGGAGCATAGTTCTACTTTGCACGCATAGGGTCACCATGAGTCGGAATTAACTCAATGCCAACCAACAACACCCTACTATGGAGCAGGCCCTAGGTTAGGGTGACAATGGTGAACAAAACAGACAGTGCCACCCTCACGGAGCCTGCAGTGTCGGGCAAGGCACAAGTGTCAATGGGATAATTGCATAATTGGATGCCTGAGTGCCCCAAGAAAGGGAGCCCAATTCTGTGAGGGCACAGAGCAAAGAAACCTGACCTTGACCCCAGAGGTGTGGGAGGCCCAAGGAAGGCTCTTCCTGACGAAGCGATGCTTGAAGCTGAGATCTGCAGTGGAAATAAAAATTAAAGGGATTTGGGGGTCCAGGGGAGCCCTGATGGCACAGTGG